GGGGCTTCTGTCCTGGGGTCCCTGAGTCAGGCCTCTGAATTTCTTTGGGTTCTTCCTGCCCTGTGTAGTCCATATGGTAGTCACCTGTGCCTAGCAACGTAAGCTGTGAACCCTGCCTCAAATGCTCCTTTGTAGTTTGTGTTTGTTTGAGGTTTTTTGGATTCTCGTTTTTTGTTGGATTTGCTTGTTTTTGTTATTCTGGGGCTTGAACCTTAGGGCCGGGTGTATGCTAAATAAGCACTCTGTAGCCTAGGCATCCCCTAGTCCCCTTCTGGCTTCTGTCCTTGGGCGCAACAGTGACATCATCAACGGTTTATTCTGTGCATAGGCTACATGTTCTGCCTCACATCCCTCTACAGACACCACCCTGCCACCACAGAGCGGAAGTGAGAACTTCTCTGTAGAGAGCAGACACGCTCACCCACAGTTGCCTGGGCCTGGTAGAGTGTGGCCCTGGGATTTCCAAGATGTCCTTGGACATGTACAGCTCCCTCCCCTGACCTCAGGGGAGCTGCCTGGTGAGGACTAGCTTTTTCCTGCCAACTGTCCAAGCCCCAGGACCTCAGCTGCACAGAGCCAGTGTGCTTCCTTCCCATACCAACCTGGGTGCTCTCTGCACTAACCAAGAGCATCACTGGGACCTCAGCTCTTGTGACAGGCCAGTTCCATGACAATTCTCTCAACTGGCCAGGACCTCCCTGTCTCCTCAACATGAACCCATGAAGAAATGGCTTCACATTTATTTTGTTTGATTTTAATTTTACCTGTGTGTCTGCACCACGTGCTCACAGAGGCTAGAAAAGAGCAGCAGACCCCCTAGAGCTGGCATTGCAGGTGGTTGTGAGCTGGCATGTGGGTGCTGGGAACAGAACCTGGCTCTTCTGCAGGAGCAGCAAGTGTTGAGCCGTCTCTCCAGCCCCCTGGCTTTACACTTTAAAAGGGTTATTTGAAAAGCGAGTAAGAGCCGTGTATGGCCTTAGGCCCTTCTGAATAGGCCTACTTAACCTCAACTATTGCCTGTTTCTGCTCTAGGCCAGTTTGCTTCAATTGTTCCCAAGACAGGCGTGGCTTTGGGGGTGATAGACAGGAGCAGAACACAGGTTAGACCTAGGACAGATGTTGCGCCACATTCAGCAGACCTGGGATGGCTGGGGCAGGGCAGTGGCAGCATCAGGGACAGTTCTTGGGCTTGTGATTGGCAGAAGGGGTAGGAACCTTCAGGACAGGAGGCAGCTGCTGCTCCTCACCTCAAACATAAGCCAGGGCTGAGGAGGCTGCTCCATGGGGTTCTGTGAGGAGTAGTGAGCAGGCACTCTGTCTCTGGGGACAGCTTTTCTCTCCCAGGAGGATGCTGAGGGCGGTGGCTGGATGGGGAAGGTGAGCCTAGAATTATTCCCCATATAGGATTAGGATTCTCTGCGACCACTCTTTCCTGAGCCAAGTGTCAGCTTGGAGCCCCATATGAACCTGCAAAAGGAGAGTCTCTAACGGCAAAGGACTGGAAAACTCACGACACAATATTCCTGATTCTGAGTGGAAACCCACCGCTCAGACTCCGCTGTCCCTGAGTGTGGGGCCAGTGGTGCTGAAGTCTAGGAAGCCCACAGTTCTTAGTGCTCAGCAGAGGGGCTGAGCAGCATAGAGAGCCGGGAGAGTGTGAGCTTCGGCTCATGTCTGACCATCCAGGCCCGAGACTTACCTGGATGTGGGAGAGCTTGGAAGCACCTCATCACTCTGCCGCTCTCCCTGCACTGTGAGGAGTGCTAAAGACCTGAGCTGTGAAGAGAAGCTCAGTGCCCATCCTTAGGTTCGTCTAGGCAGCTTAAGTTTTAAGTGACACTCTCAGCACAAATCCACTGGCTGCACACAGTTCAGATAAGCTCCATTATTTTCTAGTCAGTTGTGATGTTGTGATGTCAAATGCCTTTAATCCCAATACTCTGGAGGCAGAGGCAGGCAGAACTCTGAGTTCAAGGACAGCCTGGTGTCTACATAGAGAATTCCAGGACAGCCAGGGCTATATAGAGACCCTGCCTCAAAAAAATTGATGATTTGTTTGTTTATTTGTTTTAAATATTTGAGTGTTTTGCCTGCAAGGACCTCAATAGCTTTCAGTTCTTCTTGTGGGTCTGCTTGGTCACCCTGAGTGACCAAAGGGGAACAGTCCCAATTCCCAGTTGTGGGCCCTGGAGAAAAGCTCGTCATTTATCTCTACGGCTCCCTTATTCAGAACGGCTTGTTCTCTGCAGAGCCTGATAAACGGGGCCTTGCCATTCCTGCAGTTCTCTGGGGTGTGTTATCCCTGGAAGAACACAAGCACTTTGTTTTGTTTGATGGAGTCAGCCTGGTCTCTGCACCCTGTAGGCCCAAGGGTCTCGAGGAAGAGAGCCCAAGAGCCTTTGTTGACTCAAGGTACCCCTACCACTGGCTCTGACCCCTGACCTCCAGGAGGACAAACTCCTGGGAGTCTGGAAATCTCTGGGCTAGATCTCAGAGGCAGGAGTGACAGACAGCAGGATGGGGAGGTAACGGAGATGATGGCAATCGGAATGGCGGCTGGGTTAACAGGCATGACTCGTAATGTTAAATTGTGGCAGGAAAGTGTAGTCAGACTTAGTCACTGCTTCCACTGCACTGGGGCCAGTAGTGTTGCGGTGGGTGCCGTAAGTATGTTTCCTGAATTTCTCCTGGCATTGTAAAGGAGGCAATCAGGTGCCACCAAAGACCTTTCAATGACAGACTGTGTGTTCAGAGTGGCTGTCCTAATATAACAGCTGAAAGTAGCTCAGTGGTAGAGCACTTGACCAGCATGTACAAGGCCCTGAGTTTATCCCAGCATCACAAAACAAAGACATGTAGCAAATACTCCTGTGGTCTAGAAACATTGGCATACCAGCATTGCTCTTAAGTCTGTAAACATACCCACTATGCTATCAGCCATAAAAGTTTAGCACAGGACTATGGATATATCTCAGTGTTTAGCACACGTGGTCATGTACAAAGAGCAATACTACATATAGGGATGTCCGTGGGGCTGGAGAGATGCCTCAGTGGTACAGAGGACGATTCCTTTTGTGGAGAACCCAGATTTAGTTCTCAGCACCCATACTAGGTGGCTGACAACTTCCTGTAACTCCATCTCCAGGGGGTCTGACACCCTCTTCTGGCCCACATAAGCACCTGTAGTCATGTACACATAGCCATATAGAGATACAAACATACATGCATATAATTTAAAATACATTTTTAAAAAATTATAAAATGACAATAGAGGTAGCTGTTCTTAGTTTATCTAGTATTTTTTTTTATCATAATTTCAGTGAGTTCCTTCTGCATACTAGAACAGCCTGCCCTGAAACAGCCTGCTGGGTGCACAGACGCGTCCTGGCGTAGCTCGTGTTTGCCGTCTCTTAATTGCATCAAGAGCCCCTGATTGACCCACACCGTTTAGGTTTATTCTAAATGCACTCTGATGTTCGCACAGTGGACTCACGTATTAACACATTTCTTAGACTGTGCCCCTGTTAAATGATGCGCAACCACGGTGCATTGGAGAAGAGGCAGTCGGAGCTCAGAGCTGTCCTGACTTGTCCACTGTCACCCTGGAGCAAAGGAGTAGGCCTGGGCTCAGAACTTGATTGTGTTTCCATTCGGTACCAGGTTCTGACCCCTGCACTGTCTGGCTTCCCTTTATACAGCAGCCAAGTATGTGCTTAGGTTACCTTTTCCATCAGTCTGTCCTTAACCCCTGGAGCCTGGCTCTGTCAAACCATGAGAGCAGAGCAAGCCCAGGCCCCACCACACACACACACACACACCCTTTTCCTTTGGCAAGAGCAGCCATTCACCCCTTCCTTTCTTCAGTATTTGGAATCAGAAGGACTCAAGCAGTGGCTATGGAGGAGGTGTGTGCTGCTCCGTGTGCACCTGGGAGGGACTGGCTTGTGTCAGTGTGGAATTGTGTAAGAGCTGCAGTGATATAAAGGAGGAGGGGTTGTGACTGGCCAAAACTGAGAGCCTTATGAGTACCATATGACCATGGTCACTCATATCCATGATCTTAACATTCAAGAGGCTGAGGCGGGAGGATTACTGTTTCAAAGAGAAAGAAAGTGAAGTGGAATGGAAGTCCAGTATGTGTCATGCATGCCAGGGCGTGCACACCGAAAGTTGTTTCTCTATGTGCACTTGGGCCTGTCCATGGCTGTGTGTTCTGGGTGGGTCTGGCTAAGTCTGTGGCACTGGGTGTTGTCCATGTTGCCTGACAGTGTGGTGAGTGTGTCAGAACCAGCACCACCTGCTTACGGCCACATCCTTGGCACCAGGTTAGGCCCTCCCTGGTGTGGGGGCAGGGCTAGTGAGCAGGCCCACACCAGGACAAATGTCTCCAGTTCCTGGAACCACTTCCTTGCCCAGGGCCTTTCCCCGAACCTCCCATCTGAGCACTTAGAAAGGGAAGGAGGCCATGGTTCCTTTAAGGTGGCATTTCCAGCCAGCCACAGGGGAGCTGGCCTAGGAGACAGAAAGTGACAGTGTGCCTTAGAGCGTGTCCTTAAGTCCTCCAGGCTCAAAATGCAAAGTCAGTGAGTGTGCACTTCCCACAGGCCCTCAGAATGGCAGAACCTGTCTGTCCAGCTGTGCTTCTTCCCCAACAGGAGCTTGGGAGAGGGCCCGGGCCTACAGCTGTGGCCTAGTGGCCTAGAGTGTACATGGAGCCATCTGAAAAGGGGGCAAATGGGCAGAAGCATTTTTTCTCCTATGCCTTCCTGCTCTGTGCCCAAACTGGCTCTGTCATCCTTGGCCATCTTCCTGAGCAAGTCTTGAGCACCTTGGAAGTGGGGAGAGCCCAGTCCCCCTCTCACCCAAGGAAACTGAACCTACATAAAGGAAGAAGCAGGTGAAGAACACAGTGTGTTCGCAGAAGAGCCAAGCCCTGGCATCTTGTGGTGAAGTAGCTGCTCTGTCTGGAGGGGCCACTCACCCAGGATCTTCTCCCGCAGGTAATTGAGGAGTTCTACAACCAGACATGGGCCCACCGATATGGAGAACCCATCCAGCCCACCACACTCACCACACTCTGGTCCCTCTCAGTGGCCATCTTCTCCGTCGGGGGCATGATTGGTTCCTTCTCTGTGGGCCTTTTTGTTAATCGCTTTGGCAGGTAAGCAGGAAAGGCCCCAGCTCAGCCTTGGGGATGCTATCTTAAAGAGTTCTGGGGGGAAGTTGGGGAGTCCAGGGGTCCTGGGAGCTGGCTGACCTGTGATCTGCCCCCAGGCGGAACTCCATGCTGATGATGAACCTTTTGGCCTTTGTGTCTGCCGTGCTCATGGGCTTCTCCAAACTGGGCAAGTCTTTTGAGATGCTGATCCTGGGCCGCTTCATCATTGGAGTGTACTGTGGCCTGACCACTGGCTTTGTACCCATGTATGTGGGAGAGGTGTCACCCACAGCTCTTCGTGGAGCCCTAGGCACGCTGCACCAGCTCGGCATCGTCGTTGGCATCCTCATTGCCCAGGTAAGCCAGTTCTGGGTCTTCCTGCCCAGTACTGCCTCTGCCCACAGCTCTGGCCCTCACTCAGGTCACAGTCCAGCAGAGCAGAGCTTCTCTACCCAGCCTTACCTAGGGCAGTCTCCCGGTAGACAGGGCACACATAACCCCCACCCTACACCAGCCTAAGAGCAAGAGCCCCTGGCCTTCTCCTCTCCTTTCATCACAGGGGCCCCACTTCAACGTGCTGGGCTCCTGGGCCTCCAGGCCTGTAAGCCTCATGCATACTGTACCTTCTCGAGGCTCCTCCATTCCCATCCTTTCATCCTCCTGGAGCTGAGTAACAATCTCTACAAGCTGTGCTTGACACATTTATATGTGGCCTTGTCCCTTGTCCTTATAATTTGAGCTGGTTTTACAGATGAGCAACAGGCTCAACAAAGTGTTCCCGTCTCCTAGCAGCTGGTGGGCTAGGAGAGTGGAATGGGTACTTGAGTAGGGCCAGGGCAGGGGTACTCACAGTCCCTGCTTTCTTTGTCCAGGTGTTCGGCTTGGACTCCATCATGGGCAATGCAAAATTGTGGCCTCTACTGCTCAGTGTCATCTTCATCCCAGCCCTGCTACAGTGCATCCTGTTGCCCTTCTGCCCCGAGAGCCCCCGCTTCCTGCTCATCAATCGGAACGAGGAGAACCGGGCCAAGAGTGGTACGGGCTGGGCCCTGCCCTCCTCCCTGCCCCCCTGAGCTCAGGCCTTTTTCCCACTCTGAGCCACCTCACCTTCCCTCCGGTCCCACCAGTGCTGAAGAAGCTTCGAGGGACAGCCGATGTGACCCGAGACCTGCAGGAGATGAAAGAAGAGGGTCGGCAGATGATGAGGGAGAAGAAGGTCACTATCCTGGAGTTGTTCCGCTCTCCCGCCTACCGCCAGCCCATCCTCATTGCTGTGGTGCTGCAGCTGTCCCAGCAGCTGTCGGGCATCAATGCTGTGAGTACCCCACCTACCCCTTCCTGTGGCCCCGGCCAAGTCCAGGCTCAAGTGTGCACCGTGCGTGAATCCCAAACAAACTATAAGCAAGTTCTGCCAAAGTAATATACCTGTGGATCCAAAACCTGTGGCGGAGTCCACCTGCCTGAGAAGTATTCATCTCCCCGCCACCCCCACCCCACTTGTTCACCTTGGGTGTCACGCCCACTAGTAACCAGTACAAAGGCAGGAGAAGGCTGTAAGCACGGCAGATTGCCAACTGTCTCCCTTTCTGGCAGGTGTTCTATTACTCAACGAGCATCTTCGAGAAGGCAGGTGTGCAGCAGCCTGTGTATGCCACCATCGGCTCCGGTATCGTCAACACAGCCTTCACTGTGGTGTCGGTGAGTCTTCGCTTGCTTTCGGGCAGCAGCCAGGGTCCAGCTCAGGGCCTCATGACAGAATGACAGCCTATCCTGGGAACCAAGCTTGTGTCAATAAATTTGTGAGGCTCATTGCTCACACTGCAACTGACACAGACGCCCAGGGAGGTGAGAAGGCAAGTGCTCTCCCAAGGTCACAGCCAGGATGCTTTTGCTGTCTGATCCCCAGGGCCACCTCTCACCCTGTTACTATTGGACTCAGTTATGAGGCCCCCAAGCTACAGCCTGGTGGGGAAAGGTGTTTCCCCCACTAGTGTGTAGAGTGCCTATTTGTATTTGGCTATTGAGGTGAGCCTCTGCGCAGGTAGGCTCCAGGAGGCATCGGACAGGCAAGGGGAACTTAACTTTTTCTTTGTCTACAGCTGTTTGTGGTAGAGCGAGCTGGACGGCGGACCCTGCACCTCATTGGCCTGGCTGGCATGGCAGGCTGTGCTGTACTCATGACCATCGCACTGGCCCTACTGGTGAGTGGACACGCCCTGGAAGACCCAGGCGCCCATGACGGTAGATTCCACCTGGATTTGGATCCCCAAATGCCCATGTTGCACCCAACCTAGGCTGCCCAGTGTGGGTGTGTGCCTCTGGACTGGGGCCTGACCTTGTGCTACTCAAGTTGTCTCCTCCCATCTTGAGTTTTTTCTCCCCTCCCTGGTTGGGGATTTCCTGACCCAGCCTGTCTAACTGGAGAACCCAAGCTCTCATCTCCGTATGAAACTGCCTTGCCCAACACTGAACCTTGCAGAGCCTTTTCCTGTAGCCTCAATTCATCTCCACAGCAACCTGAGCCGTATAATGTCCCCTCCATGCCACAGAGGTACACAGACACACTTGTCTCCATTCTCCAGACAGGAGTTGTGCAGTTAGATGTTGTAGATTGAGCATCCCTTTCCCGAAGTGCTCAGACCAGATATGCCTTGGGTTTTAGATATGGGGATGCCTGCATATTGGGTTCCAGATAAGGGAATGCCTGCATATACACCTTGGGTTCCAGATAAGGGATTGCCTGCATATACACCTTGGGTTCCAGATAAGGGATTGCCTGCATATTGGGTTCCAGATAAGGGATTGCCTGCATATACACCTTGGGTTCCAGATAAGGGATTGCCTGCATATACACCTTGGGTTCCAGATAAGGGATTGCCTGCATATACACAATAAGTTACTGTCAGACTAGGACTGAAGTCTAAACGTAAAATTCATTATGTTTCACATGTGCCTTCCACACATAGGCTGGTGGCAAATTTAAATGGCTTTTTTTTTTTGTTATCATGACTGACATCATGCATGGTCAGGTGTGGAATTTTCCACTTCTGGTGTCAGTTACCAGCGCTCACCAAGCTTCAGATTTTGAAGCATTTTGCATTTCTGACTTCAGATTAAAAATGTGTTCAGCCTTTTTACTGAAACTAAAAGTAAAGCCCCATGTTGGATAAGGAAGGAAGCTAAGAATTGACCTTAGGTTGACTGGTCCCCAGCCTGTCACTAATCACTATGACAACCTGTACCATTCAGGTGTACACACACACACACACACACACACACACACACACACACTGACTCACTCCTACACACTCCTGTGTCCAACCCAAGCGAGGAAAAGCACTAGGGACAGTCCCAAGAGCACTAGAGGATAGGCAGAGTAGATTCTTGTGAGACTGAGACCAAGGTGTCTCAGTTCCTTTTTTTATTGCTGGATGAGACACCATGCAAGGCAACTTATAGAAGAGAGCATTATGTTTGGGGGCTAGCCTATGACCATCATGGCAGGGAGCAAAGTAGCAGGTAGGCAGACATGGTACTAGAGCAGTTACTGAGAGCTTACTTACATCCTTACCCACAAGCGTGAGGCAGAGAGAACTCCGATTTGAAACCTGAAACCCCACTCCCAGTGACACACCTCTTCCAATGAGGCCACACCCCCTATCCTTCCCAAACAGTTCCACCAACTGGGGACCAGGCATGAGCCTCTGGGGGCCATTCTCATTCAAACCACCACATTGGGTTGTGTAACAATCAGGGTGACCTCAAGCCCAGTGTGGAGACTTGTGCAGCTTCTCTTCCTTCTGAGAAGCCGTCATCTCCCAGTCTAACCTCTCACCCCATCTCTGTCCACAGGAACAACTGCCCTGGATGTCCTATCTGAGCATTGTGGCCATCTTTGGCTTTGTGGCCTTCTTTGAAGTAGGCCCTGGTCCCATCCCATGGTTCATTGTGGCCGAGCTGTTCAGCCAGGGGCCCCGTCCTGCTGCTATTGCTGTGGCTGGCTTCTCCAACTGGACCTCAAATTTCATCGTGGGCATGTGCTTCCAGTATGTGGAGGTGAGAAAACATCTTCTCTGTCCAGTTATCTGAAGTGCTCACCCTTGTTATTCAAGAGTCATGTTGACAAGCAGTTGGGCTCAGAAGCCCATGTCACCTGGCCAAACACTGCCCAGCCCAGGCTCTTCCCTTAGTTTTCATGCCAGTTCTGGAGCCTGTCACAAGTCAGATGTGAGCAGTCTCATTTAGTTTTTATAGCACGCCTGGGTGGCTGGTAGCAGTTATTCCCTCCTTCAGATCAAAGGCTCAGGGGTAGAGTCCTTTTAGCCAGGACAGATGGTGATGGTGTGTCTGTTTTCCAGCAACTGTGTGGTCCCTATGTCTTCATCATCTTCACGGTGCTCCTGGTGCTCTTCTTCATCTTCACCTACTTCAAAGTTCCCGAGACCAAAGGCCGGACCTTCGATGAGATCGCGTCTGGCTTCCGGCAGGGGGGTGCAAACCAAAGTGACAAGACACCTGAGGAGCTCTTCCACCCTCTGGGGGCCGACTCCCAAGTGTGAGGAGCCCCACACCCAGCCCGGCCTGCTCCCAGCAGCCCCAAGGATCTCTGGAGCACAGGCAGCTAGATGAGACCTCTTCCAAACGGACAGATCTCAGGCGAGCCGGGCTCGGGCGCCTTTCTTCAGCCAGCAAAGATGTCCAGAAGAATATTCAGGACTTGGATGGCTCCAGAATTTTAACGAAAGCAAGACTGTTGCTCAAATCTGTTCAGATAAGCAACAGGTTTTATAATTTTTTTTATTACTGATTTTGTTATTTTTTTTTTATCAGCCACTCTCCTATCTTCACACCCTAGTCTTCACCTTGAATGGCTCAGCGCCTGAGGGTGGGGACCGAGACTGTCCAGACACATGCCTTCTTCGCCAAGCTAATCTGTAGGGCTGGACCTATGACCAAGGACACACTAATCGAACTATGAACTATGAGGCTTTACCCCAGGAGGTGGTTGCTGCCGCCCCCTTCCGCAGGCCTGGATCTCCCCACCATAGGGGTCGGGCTCCATTTTTAGGATTCGCCCATTCCTATCTCTTCCTTCCCAACCACTCAATTAATCTTTCCTTGCCTGAGACCAGTTGGAAGCACTGGAGAGCAGGGAGGAGAGGGGAAGGGTCAGACTGGGCTGCCAGATTCCAGTCTCCTGTGCACTGAGGGCCAGACATCATGAGAAGGCCTCGGAGGCTGAGAACTCACTGCTGAAGACAGACACGGACACTCCTGCCCTGCTGTGTATAGATGGAAGATATTTATATATTTTTTGGTTGTCAATATTAAATACAGACACTAAGTTATAGTATATCTGGACAAACCCACTTGTAAATACACCAACATACTCCTGTAACTTTACCTAAGCAGATATAAATGGCTGGTTTTTAGAAATGTGGTTTCAAAATGCTTGTGGATTGGGGCCAGCCAGGTTTGGATGGAAGTGAGAGGGAGGCAAAGCATAGTTATAACCATGCAGTGGCTTTGGACTTTTTGGCGCAGGATCCTGTCAGTTCTAAGCACCTGTTCAACGTCCTTTAATTGCTCAAAAATCTGTATGACCTCTGACCCAGAAGAAAACCCAAGTTCTCTGTCCTGGCAGTCAGCATTTTCATCATGTTATTTTCAGACTGATAACTCCTAGTCCTGATACTCAAGCTTGAACATCTTGAAAGTGAAGATAGGTGTCTTACCTGACAGGCTTCAAGAAGTTTAAAATGGATGCAATCTCAACCACCCCACCCCACCCTAGCCACGCTTTTAGCGTATTTTACAACTCTTTCCTGTCTCCTTTTCCCCCAAACAAAATGAGCTGTTTACACTGCCACCGTGAGTTGTTATGGTGCTTTGTATCCAAGGCAGCTTTCTTATTTACAGAAATCGGGCCACCTGAGGGGGTGTCCAGGGTGTCTGGGCAGCACTGAACAGGCAGGTCCTTCCCAGAGACCCCCTTCAATTCAGACGCACTTGAAGGGACATCTAGGTTTAACTGGATTTTCAGCATCATCCAATCCAGGGCTAGGCACTCAAGAATAGCTGTAGTAGAGCGCCATGAGTATCCTGTCTCTAAAGGTTACAAAACCTAGAGGGAATTTCTCTTCCTGACTACGCAGACAACTATAGAATTTCAACATGACAAGGGGGTTAAGGAGAGGAAACTTAACTACAGAGAAAATGTAAGGTCTTACTCCAGCCCCTTCCCAACTGAACAAAGCTGAGAAGGGCGGAGCCTGAGCTGTTGAGGCCGGGTAAGGGGGAGTATGGGCGGTCAGTAAGCCTTTTGCCATTTGCAAGGCCTGGGAACCCACCTCTGCAAAGAGAGTAGGGACAGGTGGGGACTGCTTCAGCAGCGGTTGGGGGCATGGCAAGGTGGGTGGCCTAAGGCCCAAAGACTTCCAGGTTCGGGAGGAGCTGGTTGGGGTCCAGGGCTGAAAAAAGCCGGACTCTGCAGCCCTCCCCAGCCCAGAGCCTACCCTGTCCCCAAACGGGACCACGCGCATGCGCAGAGAAGGGGCCGAGTTGGCTCCATCCTCCCAGCCACGCAGCAAGGACGCAGTCAGCCCACTGACGCGCAGGGGAGGCGGGGTTAGGTGACGTATTCACCAGTCAGAGCGAGGGGGCGGGCTCCGAGCCAGGGAGGAGCTCACCTGTTCGACATCAGGTGAAGCCTTCAGGTTCTGATGGGCAGCCAGCAGGTACCCGAGCTGCTCCCTGGCGCCCTTCTCACCAGCGCCTAGACAGGTTGGTACTTTATCTGCAATCCTGCCTCAGTCTCCCTGGAAACAGTCGGAACTCGGCGGCAGCCTGTATTTTCCTCATTCTAGTGCTGTCCACCCACTGCAGGAGTCGACGGTCCTTCCTCCAGAGCACAGAGGGGCAAGGCCGCCGAACCATTCCAGGATCTCAGGTTCCACCAGAGAATCTGTCTGGTCAAGACTTCAAATGAGAGCACAAGAACTCAGTCCCGGCTTCCCAGCCGAACTCCTCCAGTGCAGTTTCAGGCAGGAGTGCCGATTCAGAAAGTACATGCATTCATAGGGAAAGAATGTCTATTGTCTTTTAACAAAACTGCGTATTCGTGGCCCTCCCCCCATTCTGATTGTCTCTCCAGTCCCCTGCCAACTCAGCTGCTGGCAGTACCGGCCCCTTGCCCTCTCCCCAGCCACGCAGCAGCCTCCTCAACTCCTCTCCTTTCAGTCTTGGGTCTCCTCATGGTAGTGATGCTTCTAAAATTTAGTTGTGTCTCTTTTTATAAGCGTTCCCTGGGTCCCCCTCAGGATAATGCCCATCTTTCTTTTTTATTGCATTATTACCCATAATGGGTTTCATTATGGCATTTTATGCATCGATGTCATGTATTTTGATCATATCCACCTACCTCCATTACATCGTTATCTTTCTCTCTTGCTGAGCCCTTGCCTCTACTCAGCAAGCCCTCCCCCACTTCATTTTTTTAATTTTAAGAATTTCATTATATTATTGGCATCAATGGTGATGGGGGTGCATACATGTGTATGTGACCGTCAGGGGGCAACTTGTGGGAACTGGGTTTCTCCTTTGGGTTCCAGGCATCAAACTCAGGTTGTGGGGCTTTAGTGGCAAGCACTTCTTTCTGCTGAGCCATCTTGCTGGTCTTTCCTCCTCCTCCTCCTCCTTCTCTTCATCCTCTCCTTTCCTTCCTCCTCCTCACCCATGAGTTTCACTAGAGTTGCTCGCAGACACAAAGGTGAGAGCTTGCTAACAGGAGCATGGGCACCTTGCCAGTGACTACACCTTGAAGAAAATATCATCAACCATTAACAGCCTCTCGATCCTCAGACATAGGTGGGGTCCCGCCTCCCTCCATGAGAGGATGTTAACGGCCCAATCTTGTGCGGACAATCAAAGCTGCTGTGCATTCAAGAGCGACACAGCCAGTATCGTGTCCAGAACTCTCCACCCCATCTTTCTGTTCCCGCACCCTTTCTGCCCTCTCTTCCTCGGTGACCCTGAGCCTTGGACGGAGCAGTTTTGAGTCTGCAGGGACTGCTGTCCACTGCACGGCACTAACCGACAGAAACTGGCAGTGGCACTAATCTATGAGATAGACAGAATTGTCAGAAGGCAAACTGATGGGCGTGCCGTGGCCACTCAACAGAACAGCAGCTAGAGCTTCCCACTAGGGCCTGTGACCGTTCCAGCCAAGGGCTTTGAGAGGGTTTACAGAACCAGGCAAGAATTCTCTTCCCGTAGAACAGGCCTCAGTTTCGATCAGAAAGTGGTTGATTTTATATCAGATTGGATTCAGTTGTGTCAGTGGGCACATCTTGATATCTATCTTTCTTAGAAGGCTCTTCGTGATGCCCCCCTCACCACAGCCCTCCACTCCCTCTATCCGTATCCTCCAGGGGCCACGCCCTCCGTCTTTGGCTACCATGTCCCCTTTCCCGTCTGGGTCTCTGGGATCACTTCACACAGATGCTTTCCCCACTCTGCCTGATTCCCATTCACCAAGTGGCCATTCTTGGGAGGAATGGTCCAGGCCTGGCCTATCCATTCGTGGGCACACTGCTGCCTACTAGTGGCTGATTTTAACTTCTGCCTCTCTTGTTCAGAGAATAAATGGCTTTGGAGGGGACAGGTCCATTTGGTCACCCTGATCCATCCACTCAGAATGATTTCACTAAAGCACCATGTGTCTTATTATCACACGGATTAATACTCCACACTATTGCATGATACAGCTCAAAACTTTTAACCAAATACTGTGGGTTTTTTTGTTGTTGTTGTTTTGGTTTGGTTTTGGTTTTGGTTTGTTTTTCGAGACAGTGTTTCTCTGTGTAGTTTTGGTGCCTGTCCTGGATCTCGCTCTCTGAAGACCAGGCTGGCCTCGAACTCACAGAGATCTGCCTGGCCCTACCCCCCGAGTGCTGGGATTAAAGGCATTCTTAAAGACCACACAGCCTATGCTCCAGGCAGGCTGACAACTCAGTATTCCCTAGAAAGCTCCTGCCGGGAACTGTCTTACTCTAACACATTTGGTCAAGACTTTTCTCTCCTGGTCTGCCTTTGTTCTGTTGTTACCTGAAGTTTTCCTGGGGAGACATGAACAGCTATGCACCCCAGATAGGGGACCAATGAAAGAACAAAGGTGCACCCCAGGCCAAGCTCAGAGAACCAGTGAGTTTATTGGCCTTATTTTCAGGTACATAGGTGACCCCTACCCAGCCACACCACTGAGGATTCACCCGGCAGCATGGGTTATGAGTTACCCACAGCTTCACAGATGGGGTTCCCACTTCAATGAACCTTTCACCTTCTACAAACTCGAGAGTCTTCTCAAGACCATGTGTAGCTGGGGCAAAGTTATATACAGCTTAGGGGGAGGTTCAAGAAAGAGTGGCTGAAACCTCAAGTGAGGGTCTGAAGACTCGTCCCACCTGTCCTTCCATGAGGGAACTCGAACAGGTCCAAACCCCAGGGCTGCATGTGAGTCATCCCAGCTGCTCTGAATGAGATAGTGAGGGCTAAGCCAGGTGCTGTGGTACGTGCCTGTAGCCTGGGTGGTAATGGCTGCTCTCCTGCGAGGACAGCATTCCACATCTGTCCGTAAGGTGATGTGGTCACAGGAGACCAAATCAGCTGTCACTTTCTCATTCCTTTAGCTCTTTCGTAACCAAGCACACATTCTCCTGTGCTCTGCACTGTCTTAGAAATGAGTCAGAGGCAGCCGACTTTAGACTGTCTGCCACTTAGCTAAGTCATGGTGGGCAAATCTCTTCGCTCTTCTGATCCCCAGTGTCCTCATCTGTTGTCATAGTCAAGTGGAAAAAGGATGCTGGTGGCGGTGGTGGCGCACGCCTTTAATCCCAGCACTCGGGAGGCAGAGCCAGGTGGATCTCTGTGAGTTCGAGGTCAGCCTGGGCTGCAGAGTGAGATCCAGGACAACCAGAGCTGTTACACAGAGAAACCCTGTCTGGAAAAAAACAAACAAAAACAACAACAACAAAAAAAATGGGATAAGTGTATGTAATGCAGGCGTCAGCTGGGGTCATACCATTCTCTGTCTCTTTCACTTTTCAGAAAGTATACTTCCCTCAAAGATTTTTTTTAAAGAGGTGAGGCTTTCATACACGCATAAACTGTGTTTTGATCAAATTTTCCAGCACCTGCATCCTCTCCCCTCCTGTTTTCTTCCCGTCTTCATGTGCTCTCACTGGTTTCTCTCCTTTTGTTTTGCTTTTTTTTGAGACAGGATCTCACTATGTGGCCTTGGCCTGGAACAGGCTGGCCTTGAACTCACAGAGGTCTGCCTGCTTCTGCTTCTTTAGTGCTGGGATTAAAGACATGTACCACTATACCCAGCTCATTCTGTTTTGAAATTTAAACTAGCCAGGCATGATGGCCTTTAAATCTAACACTCAGGAGGCAGAGGCAGGAGGATCTCTGTGAGTTCAAGGCCAGCTGATCTACATAATGAGTTCCAGGACAGCCAAGGCTACACAGAGAAACACTGTCTGGAAAATAAGTAAAAAAAAAATAATAATAAATTTAAACTGTTTTAAAATGTTATGTATATGAACATTTTGCCTGCATGTGTGACTATGCAACATGTGTGTACCTGGTGCCTGTGGAAGCCAGAAGAGGGCATTGAATCCTGTCACAGACAGTTGTGAGCTGTCGTGTGTGTGCTCGGAATCTTACTGCAAGAGCAGCCCAGAGTTCTTAACTGCTGAACCTTCTCTTTAGCATGACCCTGCCCCCACTTCTTCTTTTTTTAACCTACTCCATTTAGTGCTACCTGTACGTGCATGGATGTGGGGCCATGTACTAGAACACGGGAAGCCC